TCCAAGGACCTGTCACCCAGGGAGGCTGGGAGCCAGTGGAAACCTGTGACAGCCCTGGACAGGAGGGCTCCTCAGAGGTGGATAGGGGTGACTCCGGGGAAATTCCTGGGTGTGGAGAAGGGGCGGCAGCAGGCACATGGATTCTTTCTAGAGGGGAGACAAGCCACTTGGACATGTGTGTGTGGAGGGAGTGGTGGGTTATGTCGTGGTGGTGGCACAGGGAGGGTCACGGGAAAGCCTAGTCCTCTGTGCTGTTCTTCAGGCTCCTGGAGCTTGCCCACCATCTCTCTCTAAGGGATGCGAGCTTAGTGTGCTAGAGCCAATGGGGGCAGTGAGAAGAGGGGTCTTAGCCAGAAAGTTGTCCAGTGGGGCGGTCCGTGGCCAAGTCTACAATGAAATGACCTCCCCGAGGGCTGGGCTGGAAGGCCCTCCACCGGCTGCAGCCCAGGGCTCCTCCACTGCCTCCAGCCCAGAGCTCACTTCTCAGCCCAGGGAGCTGCTGCTTGTCTCGGATTCCGCAGGGGCAGGGCAGCGGGTAACTTCCACCAACATGGGGCTCGGTGCCCCCGAGTTGTCCCCAATTGTTCCCGCATTGTGGCAGCTCAGTTCTTCAGACCCACTTCCCCTTGTCGTGTATCTCAGGGCGCACCCCCTGCCGGGCCTTTTACCTTTGAGACGAGGGCTCTGCCCATAGTCCAGGTCCTGCTTCAGGGACACAAAACGGATGTGGAGCGTGGTTGGTTTCCCTTGGTAGGTCGGTGAAGGCGGTTCCCTTTTGAAAGGGGGCGAGGGGAGTAGCACAGAGGCAGGAAGGTGCTCCCCTGTGTCCTTAGTGAATGTCCAAGGACGCCTGTCCTGAGCAATTAGGGGCATGTGGTATGTAGCTTGTTCCCCTGGACAAGCACTCTGCTTGAGTGCCTCTGAGCGGGGATGTGTCCAGACACCTACAATCCTCAAAGGCCCTTTGGGAGCCTAGAACTTACCTTGGACAAGGTCGCTACCGCTAGTGTAGGGTTGTTTCCCATAGGGTGGATTTCTGCCCAGTGCCATGTCTTGGGCGACAGTCTCTGAGGCTGGCAGGGCCGGGTGCTCGGGAGTCCTTAGGGAGGCTCTCAGTCAGCGCTGGCTGGGCTGATCCTTCTCACAGACAGTGGTCAGGGAGCAGGCTCTCCAGGGGCACAATTCTCACCTGGAGGTCAGAGCATGACAGTGACTGGAGGATATTTGCCAGTTCCACAGTTTGCCCCATCCAAATGGCCCTCGTGTTGAGACTCACTGCTCTGATTCCCGGTGGCTAAAGGGGACCCAGAGCGCCTCAGTCCCGTTGGCTGGCTGTCCTGCTCCATTCACCCATCCCCTTTGTCTCAACAGCATCTGCAGTGCGGGGAGCGGATGTGCCCCTGAACCCTGGCGCCTCCACCACTCCTTTCACAGCACAGGCCTTTCCTGCGCCCAGTACTGGCCCTGCACACAGGCCATCTTGGGAGCAGCATCTGCAGTCACTCACTACCTTGTCATTCCCTCTTGGCCGCCCCCCGGTGCTGCCAGCTTTGCCCAGGGCACCTCTGGTGGCAGGAGACGCTGGCCAACGCCCAGTTGGGACTGGGACTTACAACATTGTGGGCCAGGTCAGGTCAGAAGGGGGCCGACCACAGCCTCCCCAGACTCAGACCATTGTCCTGACTCAGGCCCCCCCCAACTGGAATGTTCCAGGGGCAATCTGTGGGGGTGCTGTGTGTCCTGCACCCCTCTTCTTGGAGGCCTCTGCAGTGGAGACAATTATGCCCACCTCTGCTTTTGGGGGCACCCAGGCCAGGGAGGGAGACTGGCGTCCCAGCCTTCCAGCTCAAGCTCCACCACCAGCTGCCCAGCTGGCCCCCATCGTGACCTCGATGAACCCTGGGGCACGGCCACATGGGGTTTCCAGGGAGGGTGGCCTGACCACCTCCCGGCCCAAGGCCTCGCAGGATGACTCCTGTAACCCCAACAGTGTGTATAAAAATTTCCGACGTTGGCAGCGCTTCAAGGCCCTGGCCCGGAGGCACCTTCCCCAGAGTCCTGATGCGGAAGCTCTTTCCTGCTTTCTCATGTGAGTGCCTGGGCAGGGCGCAGGGCTCACCTGGAGCTCTCACCTCAACGAGGAACGTGGGAGGGGCATGCAGGCTGGCTGACCCCGGGATACTGGCAGGAGGGTCTGAGGGTGGTGTCCATGCTCTGAGAAGGCACATTCTTTGTAACACGCATCACACATTCTCCCATTTATGACACCCTCACATGCTTTATTGCAACTGACCTCACCACCCTGAGTCCAGATCTCCTACCACTACAGTTATGACCATGGGAGGCATTTCCTTTGGCACCCTCAGGTCCCTCATAAAAAGGTGACAATTCTACCTAATTCAGAGAACTATAGAGAAGACTCCTTGGTCTAGCCTATGTTAATCTATGAAGTGCTAGCAGATTGCTTGGCACATGCCATGTCTCACTGATGGCAGTGATCATGTTATGGATGGGCAATCTTGAAGAGCGAGAGAGCTCCCAAAGCCAAAGTGTCCCAGCTATAGGGTGGGAGTGGACGGTCAGCCTCGAGTCCAGGTTCATGGCTGGCGCGAATGTGAGGCAGGAACCACAGTAGCTGGGACGGGTTGTCTTTCACACACAGACGCCTCCCCCTCCCCGGCCAGCGCTCAGTCATGCTGGGAGGGCTGGGGACATGCGCTCCTCAGAGCTGGGGTGGTCAGGCGGGTGGAAGGCAGGCTGTAGCCCTGGACTGACCCTGAGGCATTACAGCCCAGTGCTCCGGTCCTTGTCCCGCCTGAAACCCACCATGACGCTGGAGGAGGGAATGTGGCGGGCCATGCATGAGTGGCAGTGCAAAAGCAACTTTGACCGGATGATCTATTACGAGATGGCAGACAAGTGAGTCAGGGGCCTTGTTCCCAGCAGCTGTGGGGAGGGGAGCTGACTGCAGTGGGTGGTGGGCCCACTGCAGGGCAGGGTCCAGCTGTGATGATGCTCCTCAGAGAGGGTGTTGGGCGGAGGGCTGGCGGCTAGCACACGGTCCTCCCAGCCCAGAGGCCCTTCTCCTCGGGAAGGCTCTCCCTCACCTTCAGAGCGCGGGTGCTTCTGTCTTACCTCCCCCGCGAGCTCCACCCTCCTCTGATCTTGACCCTTCCTTGGCTGGACATGAAGGCCCAAGACAGGCTGGGGCGAAGGTGCCCAGCCCAGTGGGGTCAGACTCTACCCAGAGGGGCTGTGCAGGGCATGTGCCCCGCCAGCCCGCCTCCTGCGTCCTCGGTGGCCCGGCCCTGACAGCCCCAAGGCCCTGGCTCTCCCCTCCCTCCATCAGCTGTTGCCTGCGCTGCGCCCCGGCGGCCTCCGTCTCAGCTCAGCCCGTGCCCCCCACCCCCCAGGTTCATGGAGTTCGAGGCGCAGGAGGAAATGCGGTTTCAGAAGTTGCAGTTAAAGAAGGGGGCGCAGGGACAGCCTCCTCCAGCCCCACCAAGGCCTGATCCTCGGGGGCCCCGAGCCCCAGTGGTGGGCCCACAGCCAGGTACGCCAGCAGGATCCCCCAGGACCCCTGGCCAAAGCAACAGGGCCTAGGGCAGGCCCCTTCCCCACCCACATCGGTCCTTTTCCTTCAAGGGGGCTCTGGTTTTCAACTGAAACAGCCCTGAGAGCCAGAGCCTTAGCCGCCCTTTGTCACCATGGGGTCTAGACCTGGTTGGCTTTCTTAACCCCTCTCCCAACTCCCTGTCAGAGGACCCAACAGAAAGTCTGCTGAGAGGCGGGCTGGGTGGGGGGCCCTTGGAGAATCGGTGGTTCCACACATCCTCACACATGACTCCCTTGGATGCTCCCCTGGGCCCTCTCCCCTGACACGGTCACACAGCTTCAGGTGGTCCTGACCCAGCCACACTCATGTTAATGCCCCCAAACACTGCCCTCACCATCGAGTGCTCAGGAGGTGGAAGCCTTATCCCCTCACCCCCCTCCTCTTCCATCTCTGCCCAGCTCCCACTCCCAGGAAGGCTGCACCCACGGCCCAGCGAGCCCACACACACAAGAGGCCCCAGGAGACGGAGTCACCTGATGGGATCCCCCCCGCGGCCGTGCAGGAGTACATGGACCTCATGGACGAGCTGCTGGGGCTGGGCCACTCAGCCGCAGGGGAGCCAGGTGGAGAATGGGAGGATGGAGGAAAGGACCTGCTGCCGGACAAGGGTCTCCTGAGCTACCTGGACCAGCTGTGCTGCCAGCAAGACTTCGTCGCCGAGGTGGGCTGGCTCTGAGCTCTGGGGTCTATAGGATTCCGGAGGGTGGACTCCAGCACCCAGGGCCTGAGGTCTCTTCTTTGTTCCTGAGCTTGGTGCCTGAGTGTGTGTGTCTGTGTGTCTGTGTGTCTGTGTGTCTGTGTGTGTGCCTGTGTGTGCATGTGTGCACACTGTGTGTGTGCTCTGTGTGGTGTGTGCTATCTGTGTGTATGTGGTTGTGCCCTTGTCTTTGCATGTAAGTGGGTGTGTGTGTCTGCCTGTGTGTCTGTATGTGTGTCTGTGCGTGGCTGATGACTGTGATGGAGTAAAACACCCACTGTGTGCAGGAGGATGGGGTGGGTCTTTGCTTTCTCACTTGTCCTCCAGGTCCTGCTGACTCACAGGTTACTCCCTGCCAAGGGTGCTCACTGCCTCTTCCTTCTGTCTCAGGTGGAGGCAGTCATTCACCCTGGATTCGTAAAACAGTTGCTTTCCCCGGACACACGGCAGGATCCGTTGGCCCTAACTAAGGAGCTGGAGCAGGAGGAAGGACTGACTCCTTCCCAGGTGAGCCAGGGGAGGGCGGGACCCCAGGTGAGTTGGAGGAAAGGACAGGCCCTAGGTGATGGAGGGACCCCAAGTGAGTCAGAGGAGGACAGGCCCTAGGGGAGTTAGGGACTCCAGGTAGTTCAGGTGAACCATGGGAGAGAGCACCCAGGTAAAGCAGAGCTGGGAACAACCCAGAACAGGGGCACACAGGACTCTGTCCACCCCGTTTCTGCCTGTAGGCACGGCCTGCCAAGGGACCAGCCCTGGGGTGGGTGCAATGCAGGACCACAAGAGGAGGGGACTATGGAGAGAAGAGGGTGACAGGAAGGAGAGGGTGGAAGGGAAAGGGAGGGAAGGACACATAGCTGGGAATATGGCCCAGGGGGACAGCAGGAGAGCCACATGTCTGTTTTGGATTTGAGTCACAGTGTCACCCTGGTCCCCTTCCCCCCAATCCCACTGTCCCATCACCCACGCTCCTCCTCCTCACACACGCATGTGAGGAGCCAGTCACTGTCCCTCTCTTCCCCCAGCTGGTAGAGAAGAGACTCCTGGCATCGGGGGAGCAGGAGGGTGGGCAGGCACCCCCGAGTCACGGCGCTCCCCTATTGGACTCAAGTCCTTCTGAGTCTGCAGCCGGCCAAGATGCCCAGAGGCTTGACCACAGCCCCCAGCTGGGGGTCAGTGACAAAGCCTGCCCACCAGATACTGACTTCAAGGACCGTCAAAGTCACTGCCGAGCAGAGGCCCACCTGTCCAGGCCCAAGGCGTTTGCTGTCTCTTCAGGACGTCAGGAGTACCCACCACTCTTTGCTCGAGGCACCCCCTCTCCTCCCCAGGGTCACAGGCAGGCTTACTCTGGACTGGGACCCAGGGACGCCTCCATTCCCAGAGAGACCTCTCTTGTTACCGAGACTCTGGGGCCAGTGGGCAGGTCTAGTGAGGATGAGGAGGACCTCCCTAGCCTGGCCTTCCTCTTGGGCTCTCCTAACAGCCTGCTGCCCTGTGGGCTCTCTCTGAGCCCTGTCCCTGCCTCGGGCCTTGCCTGCCCTGGAGGTCGGGGGCCCCGGGGAGCTGCCCAGTCCCAGTTCTTTCAGACACTAGGGCTCACCCGAGCATCACCTCCAGCTTCCAAGTCTCGGAAGCATGCTCTGGGTGGAGGCCCAGCCCATGCTGAGAAGACCCCCCTGCCAGGGGCCAGCCTTGGGGTCTGCGGGAGGCCAACATTGGCTCTGGAGCTGGTTTGCTCCTCACAGCCTCAAAAGAGAAAGTGTGATCAATCTGTCACAGGGAGTTGGAAGAAACGGCACTGCAGCCAGTAGGGAGCAGTGGGGTGTCCCTTCAGCTGCCATCCCCCCAAGGAGCCCAGACTAAATATGACCTGGCTGTCCCCCAGAGGAGCCAAGGGCTCCTTCTCATCCCAGAGCTGATCCTGGCTGTTCTACTGACATGGGAGGGTGGGAGGCAGGGAGGGTGGGCAGGACCATTAAGGTGGGTGTGGGCCTGGAGGTGGGGGTAGGACCAGCACCTTTAGGATATTGTGTGTCAGTTATGAATAAAGATGGTTTTGTTGAGAAATACTCTGGTGGCCAGTGTCTCCATACTTGGGGCTGTGCTGCTCCCTACTCCAAGAAGAAAGGTGGTGGGAGGTCACAAGTGCTATGGATCCATAGGTGAACCTCCAGTTCCTCTGTCCAGATTGACAGGAATCCCTTCCAATTGCTCATGGGAGAACACAGCTCTCTAATCCCCAGGGAACCCTCCCATCACACCTATTCCCAAAGCCAAATTGGGTGAGGGGCCTCCTGGGGCCTCCTAGTGTCATCTGTACTCTGAATCCTCTAGAGATGGGGAGCTCCTTTTGAGACTTTCAGCCCTTTGGTCCATTAACCAGTTTTATAGAAAGCTTTTCTCTGTGTCCCTGAAGCTGTCAGATAACAATGCTTGGAAATCCTCAGTTCTACCAAGACTACTCTACCTAGGAAGGTTAACATTTAGAATCAAAGGAGAGATAAAGAACTTCCCAACAAGAAAAACCTTAAAAAGATCATCACCACCAAACCGGTATTACAAGAAATGTTGAGGGGATTTCTTTAAGAATAAGCGGGGGGGATCGTAAATATGAATAATACAATGGCAATAACTACATGCCTATCAATAATAACTTTAAATATAAATGGTTTAAATGCTCCAATCAAAAGACACAGGGTGGCCCTGCCTGGTGTGGCTCAGTTGGTTGGGAGTTGTCCTGGATACTGAAAGGTTGCCTGTTCAATCCCTGGTAAAGGCCATGCAGGAAACAGCCTATCAATGTCTCACATCGATGTTTCTCTCTCCCTCTCCCTTCCTCTCTCTCTCTTAAAAAAAAAAGACATAGGGTAGCTGAATGGAAAAGAAAACAAGATCCATACATATGCTGTCTACAACAGGCACACTTCAGATTGAAAGACACACACACAGACTGAAAGTAAAGGGGTGGGAAAGGATATTTCATGAAAATAAAAACAAACAACAACAGAAAAGTTGGCGTATCAATATTTATATCACATAAAATAGACTTTGAAAAGGCTATAAGAAGAGACAAAGAAGGGCGTTTCATAATAAAAGGATCAATCCAACGAGAGGATATAGCCCTTGTAAACATTTACGCACTCCATGTAGGAGCACCTAAAAATATAAAGCAAACATTGACTGACATAAAGGGAAAGATCAACAGATTGTAGGGGACTTTAATATCCCATTGACATCAGTGGATAGATCTTACAAACAGAAAATCAACAAGGAAACAGTGGCCTTAAATGACACATTAAACCAGATGGATTTAATTGATATTTTAGAGCATTTAACCCCAAAGCAGCAGAATATGCATTCTTTTCAAGTGTATATGGGACAGTTTTCCAGGTTAGATCACATATTAGGCCACAAAACAAGTTTTGATAAATTGAAGATTGAAATCCTACTTAGGATCTTCTCTGATCACAATGATACAAAACTATAAGTCCATTACAAGAAAAAAACTGAAAAACACACAAACACATGGAAGCTAAATAACATGCTACTAAACAATAAATAGATTAACAACCAGATCAAAGAAAAAAATCAAATGATACTTTGAGACAAATAAAAATGAAAACACAGAATCCAAAAATCTGTAAGACATAGCCAAAGAAATCCTAAGTGGATAATTCATAGCAATACAGTCCTACTGCAAGAAACAATAAAAATCTCAATAAACAATCTAATTTTATACCTAAAGGAACTAAAAAAGAACAAAAATAGCCCCAAATCAGTAGAAGGAATGAAGTGAAAATATTAGTGAAAATAAATGAAATACAGTCTAAAAAAAAAAGAAAAAGAAAATATCAATAAAACTTTGAAAAGACAAACAAAATTGATAAATCTTTAACCAGATTCCTCAAGGAAAAATGAGAGAGGACTTTAATAAATAAAATCAGAAATTAAGAAAAGTGACAACTGACACCTCAGAAATGTAAGGATTATAAGAAAATGCTACAAACAATTATGTGCCAACACACTGGACAATGTAGAAGAAATGGGTAAGTTTCTAGGAACATATACTCTTCCAGGACTGAGTCAAAAAGAAACAAAAAATCTGAAAAGACCCATAACTACCGAAGAAATTGAAGTAGTAATAAAAATAACTCTGAAGAAAACAAAAGTCCTGGACTGAATGTTCCAAAAAATTCAGGAGGAGGGAAGGCTCCCAAGCTCATTTTATGAAACCAGCATTACACTGATTCTGAAACCAAACAGACATTACCAAAAAAATATTTATAAGCCAATATCCCTGATGAATATAAATGCAAAATGCTCTACAAAGTTTAACAAGCCAAATTCAGCAACACATTAAAAAGATCATATGCATATGACATGATCAAGTGGGATTTATTCCTAGGAAGCAAGATTGGTTCAATATTCACACATCAACTAACATGATGCACCACATACACAAAATGAAGAATACAAAGTATATGATCATATCACAAATATAGAAAGAGCATTTGACAAAATCCAGCATCCATTTATGATAAAAAAAAAAAACTCTAAGTAAAGTGGGAATAGAAAGAACATACCTCAACATAATAAAGGACATATATGAAAAACCCACAACTCTTATCTACTCAACAATGAAAAGCTAAAAGCATTTTCCTTAAGATCGGGAGCAAGACAGGATGTCTGCTTTCACCATTTTTATTCAACATAGTATTGAAAGTCCTAGCCACAGCAATCAGACAAGGAAAAGTAATAAAAAGCATCGAAATTGGAAAGAAAGAAGTAAAACTCATTATTTGCTGATAACATAATACTGTATATGGAGAACCCTAATGATTCCACACAAAAAAACGATTAGAACTGATAAATAGATTTAGTAAATTAGCAGGATATAAAATTAATATTCAGCAATCAATTGCATTTTTTATATACCAATAATAACATATCAGAAAGAGAAGTTTAAGAAAACAATCCCATTTACAATTGCATCAAAAAAATAAAATGCCTAGGAATAAATTTAACCAAGGAGGAAAAAGACCTGTACTCGAAAATTACAAGGCACTGAAGAAATTGAAAAATATACCAGGAAATTGAAGCACATGCTGCGCTCATGGGTAGGGAGAATTAAGGTTGTTAAAATGTCCATACTGCCGGGCCAGGTGTGGCTCAGTGGCTGAGCATTGACCTAGGATCCAGGTGATAGGGGTTCGATTCCCGGTCAGGGCACACGCCCGGGTTGCGGGCTCGATCCCCAGTCAGGGGCGTGCAGGAGGCAGCCGATCAATGACTCTCTCATCATTGATGTTTCTATCTCTCTCTCTCCCTCTCCTTTCCTCTCTCTGAAATCAATAAAGATATATTTTTTAAAAATGTCCATACTACTCAAAGCAATCTACAGATTCAATGCAAAATACCATTGACATTTTTCACAGAACTAGAACAAATAATCCTAAAATACATATGGAATGACAAAAGACCAAAAATAGCGACAGCAGTCTTGAGAAAGAAGAACAAAGTTGGTGGTATCATCCTCCCTGATATCAAACTATACTATAAGACTATAGTAATCAAAACAGGATGGTCTGGTATAAAAACAGATACATAGATCAATGGAACAGAATAGAGAAATCAAAAATAAACCCACACTTATATGGTCAATTAATCTATGACAAAGTAGGCAAGAACATACAATGGGTTACAGACATTCTCTCCAATAAAGAGTGTTGGAAAAACTAGACAGATACATGCAAAATATGAAACCAGACCACTTTCCTATATCATACGCAAGAATTAATAAATTCAAAATAAATGAAAGACTTTAATGTAAGACCTGAAGATATAAATCTCCTAGAAGAAAACATGAGCAGTAAACTCTTTTTTATAAATTTTTTTTAAATATATTTTTTATTTTTTTCAGTTGCAGTTCACATACAATATTATATTAGTTTCAGGTAAAAATAATTAGACATTTATATAACTTGTGAAGTGATCACCCCAACAAGCCTCATATCGTTCTGACACTGTAGGTAGTTATTACAATATTATTGACAACATTCCCTATGGGGTGGTCTGCCTCCCGTGACTGTTTTTATAACTGACAATTTGTACACATGATCTTTTCTCCTTTTTCACCGTCTCCCCAACAACCCTCCCACCTGGCAACCATCAAAATGTTCTCTGTATCTATGAGTTTGTTTCTGTTTTGCTTGTTTATTTATTTTGTTGTTTAGATTCAGCAGTAAAATCTTTGGCAATGCTCTCAGTAATTTTTTTTTATGTATTTCCTCAAACTCGTAGAAAAATAAACAAATGGGGCTACTTTGAACTAAAAAGTTTTTGCATAGCAGAAAACACCATCAACCAAACAAAAAGACAACCTAAGGAGTGGGAGAACCTATTCACCAATAAAACATCCAAGAAGGGTTAATATCCAACATATATAAAGAACTCACACAACTTAACCCTCAACACAAACAATTTAATTTAAAAGTGGGTGGAGAATCTGAATAGACATTATTCCAAAAAGGATGTCAGGTGGCCAATAGACATATGGAAAGATGCTCAACATCACTAATCATTGGATAAATGCAAATTAAAACCACAATGAGATATCGCCTCAGGCTTTAAAAAATGGCACCACCAACAAGTCAACAAGTGTCTGCAAGGTTGTGGAGAAAAGGGAACCCTCATGCACTGTTGGTGGGACTGAAAATTGATGCAGCCACTATGGAAAACAGTATGGACGTTCCCCCCCAAATAAAAACTACCTGTGACCCAGCAATTCTAAAAAAAATACAAAACACTAATT